CTATGCCAGGTCATTCCAAGAAATATTTTGATCTATTTAATTTAGGTGAATAATAATGAAATGCATAGGGGTTTCCCCTCTGTTAAGAAATGGAGGATGTTTTCCAAGGCTCTCCACCTCTAATTTCCCAAGCAGTGGGAAGGAATTAATACTTGAAAATATTCACATTGGATAACCAGGTAAGACAAATTCCTCATAGCCTCCCAGGTTAGAAAGACTGGGATTCAACAAGACAAGCAATCAGAGCTTGAATTGAATGGCTAAAGAGTCTTTGTCCCTTTCTAGAATAACTAGAGATTTTGAATGAAGCACAAACCAGAAAAATTGATGTTAGGTTTATAAGTGCGAGTAATAAAATCTATCAAAAAAAATATGGCTAACCTCTCTCTCCCTTAAAAAGGCAAAATTTACACACAGAAATTTTGTGAATATAAGTATGGTGAAATCTGTACAAAAACAGTGAAATACAAATTAACTTGGAAAAGGGTTAATGCCAGAATATTTTAAAGCTTTACTACCTTCCCAGTAGCATAATTCAAAGATGTCTTCCATTTTTCTCTTCCCTTTATAAACTCAAACTCCTAATTGAAAAGCAGTCTGTGTTATTCAATATGAATGAAATAATTACACTTGGGTCAGGTGTAGAGTTGGGTTGCTTTGGACAGTTTGAAAAGATTCAAAGACTCTCCTCCTTAGTCCTTATCTGTTTGTTCCCTGAAGGATTTCTGTATTCTTTCAGGCAAACCAGGCAGTAGCAGCAGCAATAATCTTATTTACAAAGGGGCAGGAGGGCAGAAGGTTTGAGGCCCCAAGGGCTGGCGTTCAATACAATCCCTGTCATCATGAGATCAGAGGGTTTGCCCCAGCCCAGGTGAATAATGACCAAGAGCACTTTGTGACTGATGACTGCTCTGTTTGGGGAGCTAATTGATGTCCCTGTGTTCCAAGTGAATAATGCCCTTTCTAGCAGTGACAGTAATGTCATCAAGAGGGAATATACATGCCCAGCTAATGAGGAAACAGGATATGAAGCCCCATTCCCACCCCCCACCCCAGGGTGCTCTAGTGGGCCAAGCAAGAAGTGATACTTTTACATATGTATGACAATGTTTTGTAAAAACCTCTTCGAATTAGCAGAACCAGGGAAAAGGCTACCTACACTTTGACCTTTTGACTAGTGTTATAAATCTGCTCGAGCCTCTGAAAAATCACAGTGCAGGTGCACCAGGGACAATGGATCTCCTTAGTACCTATGGCCCTTGGTTATCCGGCCCTGGCCCCGCCCTTGTTACTCCCCTTTTTTTCCTTACTCTGCCCATTTTTCCCTTTCCTCTCTTCCTAGCTAGCTCCTACTTAGTCTTCAATACTCTGCTCAAGTATCACCTCTTCTTCCTAATCCAGTTATCTGTGCCCTTTCTGGTTTCCCATTTTCTCCTCTGTTTTAACATTGATTTCATTGCATTGAGATTATCTGTTTCAGTGTTCACCTTCTTTCACTAGATCTTAAATAATCTGATAATCTACCATGATAGACACTGAATAAATGCTGCTTGAATTGAATGAGCTAAATGCACAGTACAGTTCACTAAATGGAAATTGGCTTATGGATCTCAATTCAGTAATCTAGTACCAAAAAGTGTTCACCTTCTTTCACTAGATCTTAAATAATCTGATAATCTACCATGATAGACACTGAATAAATGCTGCTTGAATTGAATGAGCTAAATGTACAGTACAGTTCACTAAATGGAAATTGGCTTATGGATCTCAATTCAGTAATCTAGTACCAAAGAGCAAACAGAGCTATACCACTTACGAGTTGTGTGACCTTGAACTAGGGTCTGTCAAATGGGGATAATAATACTTCACAGAGTGGTTGAAAGGATTAAATGAGATGATACTTCTCATAGTAAAGAAGACAAAGGCTAACCGTTGTTATTAGTGCCAAGTATAAAGTAGGTTCTCAGTAAATACTTGCTAAATTGTATGTTTAATTTTAACAAGTTACATTTCATTGGCTGGTAGAGTATTATTTCCTAGATGCCTTATTCTAGGTATGAGTTAAAAATAAAAGGTAATTTTTTTTTAAGTGAATTGAAATGGCATCTTTTCTGTAGGAAGTGGCCAAACAGCTGGAAAAACACTGCTATAGGTGCAACAGGAACGTATTTGTAGTGCCAGCTCTGGAGATAAAATAAATCAAACTTCCCTTAACTGCTCTTTCGGCTACCCAAGGTGAGTGATGATTCATACTAGGCAAGTAATAAAGAACACAAATCTAATATATTTTGACATCAGGAATGGATGTGATAAAGTTTTTGGATTTCTGCTCTCTGGTAAAGGAAGAAAAGAAAATGCAAGTATCTGGTTAGAAACATGCACCTTATCATATCCTATGCCCCCTTGCAATATGGTATGATGGAAAGATCCAGAGTCGAGAGCCAAAAGACCTGGATCTGAGCTCAAGAGATGCAATTTACTACTAACTATCCATGTGAACTTGAGCAAGATACTTGACCTCTTTGAGCCTACATATATAGAAATGTACTGCAAAACACTATAACTTTGGGCATTAATTTTGCTAGGCATTCTGGTAGAGGTGGTGTTTTTCATCTTTAAATTTGCTAGCACATGGGAAGTTTTCAGTGAGTACTTGTAAAATATTTGGCTTTAGGTAAAGAATGAATGAAAGAATGAATGAATGAGGCACTTTTGCTTAATAAAAAATAATATGGTCTTTGAAATCAGGAAGGCCTGGGTTCTAATCGCAGCTATGTGGTCTTTACCTCACTGAACTTTCCTTTCACCTATAATAGGAAGTTAATAATGTGTATATATCATAGGGTTTCCATGAGGGTTAAATAATACACATAAAGTGTTTGTACAATGCCTGACACTTAGTAGGCACAACAAAATGTAACTGCTTTATTCCTGATCATTAGCTAAAGAAAAGGCATAGGCATTAACTGAACAACTAAGATAAAATGAGGTATTCACACATGGATTAATTCTCATACTTCATGCTGGTAGAGAGCCCTGCACAGTTTTCAAAGCTTTTCTAAATACTTCATATTATCTGATGCCACTGATATTTTCAGAGCTGGCATTTTGCAGATGAGAAAATCAAATCAGAGGTTGTGGCTTGTCCAAGTCTAAACAGCTAGAAATTGAGTAATCCAGAACTACATCCTGGGACTAACAATTCCTCCTTCAGTGTTCTTTCACAATAGCTTCCTCTGTCAGTCAAAGCTGAGTATCTTTGACATTTGCTATGATTCTGATGTTTGCCAAAAAGATTGTGTACTGGACAAGAAACATTTGAACATTTTCAGATGAATCAGGCTTACCCAAAGATGTAAAGATTCTATTATTACTATTATTAAAATAAACACCTAAAGTGCTGCATTAGTCATCTATTTCTCAGTGTTAAGAGAAAAATTATGTTTGCTCTACAAATATTTGAACATACATGTTCAAAGCAATAAACGAGGTGCTGCAGTGAAAACTTGGGAGTCCCAGTATCTCATTTTTTCTTAATCTAAGACTGCAACTGTATCATTTTAATTATGACACATTTGTCAGTTCCTTCCCATTATTTCCTTTTCCTTTGAGTATGTCATGGGGAACTATGTGTCTTATAATCCCACAGTCATTACTTAACCTTACCCAGAAATTGACATGGTTAAAGCAGTGGCCCATTAACCTATACTTCTGAGATGTTCAGAGGCCCACCCAGTCCACATGTTTCATCACGCGTCCTAAGCTAGCCAGATACATACACCCCAAATTCCGCTTACTGGCATTCAGGGACAGGAAGTTGAGCAACAATGATAAATGTATATTGTTCACTTTCTATAACCCAATATGGAGCCGAGAACATATGTATCACCTGCTATCCAGAAAAATCTCTTATCATAGAACATTCTAAAGGTGAGGGTGCAATTTTTCCAGTTGGAATCATCCATGGGGGACACTGTGGAATTTCTGCATGTTTCAACTGTTTTTATGTTTCTACATCATTCTAAATGTACTTTTCAATGTCAATAGCAACACATATTGATTGGGGATCAGTTTTTGAGTTTTAAGATGCAATATAAAGATACTGAAGTATCTTTCTCTCATGAAGTCTTAGTATAAAATTTAAGAATACATGTCATTGGCTTTTTGTTAGAAGCGTTCATGTCCCCTTGCATATCTAGCCACAATATTTACTAAAAGCTGCAGTGATCAATTTTGATTATAGTTATTAAAAAACAAAGATAATCTATTTTCAAATATTCAGTAATTCATTTGAAAAATCCAAAACCTTCTTTCAAAATTGACTACAAACATACCTTATTTCAGATAGTAACAATATTTAAACTTCATTGTAATGCTTTTTTACTTCATCATAAAATTTCAGAAGTAAATTCTTATTGTTCAAATAACCCAAAACCTTCTTTCAAAATTGACTACAAACATACCTTATTTCAGATAGTAACAATATTTAAACTACATTGTAATGCTTTTTTACTTCATCATAAAATTTCAGAAGTAAATTCTTATTGTTCAAATAAAAATTATGTGAGTTTTATGAACTGTTGAACAGCACATATCTCTTTTACATGGTTCAGAATATATGATGTTTATAAGCTCTTTAGATTTATATATTTAACCATGTCTGCTAATTTCCAATTTAATTTACACATTATGAAGTGTGTGCTTGTTTTAATTTACTGCAAAATCATTAAAATGTTTAATGAAATAATGCTTAAAAAGATATGGCACCCTTTTCTGCTTTATTGTGTAAATGATGGCTTTTACATTAATCCAATCTGTCCCTATTTTTCACCCAATTTAATTTACACATTATGAAGTGTGTGTTTGTTTTAATTTACTGCAAAATCATTAAAATGTTTAATGAAATAATGCTTAAAAAGATATGGCACGCTTTTCTGCTTTATTGTGTAAATGATGGCTTTTACATTAATCCAATCTGTCCCTATTTTTCAAATAAAGTCCACGCTTTTCTGCTTTATTGTGTAAATGATGGCTTTTACATTAATCCAATCTGTCCCTATTTTTCAAATAAAGTCATAAGTGCTTTGGAGGGAAGAAATTAGTTGTTCAGCAATCTTTCAGAAATTAAGTCCCAAGTGTTTTGCCATCAGACTGTGACATAAGGCAGAATTCAAAGGCATTTTATATTCTTCATGATAATCTAGAATTTTTATTTGATTCTAGGTAACTCTAGACAATAGACATGATGAAATGTTTTGTCTTTGAATAAATAACAGTTTAATTACATCGTTGAAATAAAATATACTGTGGGCTTAATACACTGTAAATATTACACAAATACTACTTTGCTATAGTAATTTAATGACTAAAGCTACATTTAATAACAATCTTACTGATACTTGCATACAAAGTATTATACAGATTACTGATGAGGATATTGCGGTGGTTGCAAAGATGTTACCAGCTCAACAAACATCTAACAATACAATATTTGTCTAAGAGGAAAAGCAATAATGTTAGATTTACAGACAATAAGAGTTATGTTTTCCACTTGAAACACTGGAAATAAGAATCCAGATAATCTGGCATCTTGATTCATATTATTACAAGAAAAGTTTTCCTTTTTTGGGAACTCTGATCCCCAGTAGGCCTAGTACAATAAGTTTACATGAAGATAGCTTTTAGGATGCCACAGCAATGTAAAGAAACTCTCCAATCTGAAAATTACTGATTTGTAGGCCACTGCTTAAATATCTGACTTTTAAAAAACCTATTTACATACATTCAGCCCAAATCAGTAGACAGAATGTTTTGTCTATATTACAATAGGCATTGTTAACATTTCATCAGAAGACCAGTGCAAGACAATTGTTAATAGCCATTGCCCAGCATTTAGGAGATTTTTAAATATCATACAAATATACAGTTGGAGTGTGAGAAATCTAATTTTGCGCATGATATTAGTAGTCTCTTTTATGCACATGGAATGGCAGAAATTAATCGACAGGACAGTAACTTGAGTGCTACTCATCCAGGGCCTTATTCTCATCTGTGGTCAGGCCTATTTCCTGCAGGCTGGGTGTAGGCAGCAACAATTCTTGGATATTTAATGCCAGACAGTCCTGACTCAAAAGTTACAGGAGGTTTGGGAATCACCTTAAGTGTAGGCAAATGTCTGCAGCTTCTCCCAGATCCACATTTCTTTTACATATATTCTATATGTAATGAAGAATCAGGGGTTCGTGGAGACAGCCTAGCTCGTCTGAAAGAAACTGTTAGTCTAGGACTGATTCATCATCACTCTGAAGAAACTGAGCAGGTTGGGAATTTGGCCCTTTCTGAAGACATGTGGTGTTGAAATGCATGGTCATGACTAATGATTTATTGGTCATAAGTCATATCCACAGAGGAAAAGAGAGAACTCTCACGTCAGACCCAATAAAACTTACTTAAATTTAAGTCATTTTTAAATTAATGGATCTAATTAAGGGACTAATTAATGAATGATACTATTGAATGGTAATTCTAATGAGTATATTCATTGGGGAGAACATTTTAGTCACTTAGGTTAGGAAATGATACAAAATTGCCAAAATGAATCCAACTCAATTAAGGTAGTATAACGCATACATGATATTTCACAGATATTTCTTAGAATATCAATAAGCACCAAGTTTAGTGCTGTCAGCCCCATTGTCCCTTAATTTGTTATATATAATTTAGATCTTGAAAATACAACACACTATAAAATCTATATTGCATATGCACAAATACAGTTTCAAAAAGGAATCCTGGAATTTTTCTTCCTATAACAAAAATTTCATCTCCACAGGGTCTTGATAGCTGTGAGAAGAGGGTTGGTACTGTCTGGTGAACTCTGAGACATGTGGATTCATATTTGGGATGATACAGGACAAAAGAATGGCAATTCTTAGACGGAAACTAGACCCTGGTGAGTTTTTCATAAATAATCTTCTCTCCTTCCACAGGGATTTTTATTAATCTTCTCATACCCTGAGCCCTCATCCACATATCACAGAGAGGTAAGGGGAGGGATCTAGCAGGCAGATTTGAGCTGTATGGAGAGACAATTGAAAGTATCCCAGCTTGGTTCACAGGCCACATTCCACCTTAGACCGTAAACTGCAAGAAGGGGAACCGGCTGCTCGGGTATCTCTAGAACTAAGAATTACCAGATAGACACTGGCTTTCCACTTCACTTCATGCTATGCAGGCCCCAGGGCCCTGCAGGAGTCATGCTTTATCTGCATCAGAAGAGACTGTAAGTAAAATTTGTCAGGGTCAAGTGGCTTCTTAAGCAATATCATTTCTTACTGGAAAAGGGCCCAATTCTGAGCACTCGTGGTACCATTAAGGAGCATGAGACTGGCGCAAGGAAGAAAGAGAGCTGTGCTCATCTTTACGCTTTAGCATATCTTGCTAACCACGAGCGGAGGTGAGGTCTATTCCTTACCCCAAACCTACCCAGACAAAGCCAGGTGCTAGACTGTCATGAAGGGCATCCGGGCGAGGTACAGGAGCAGCAATGTCATCCAGGCCTGAATTCCAAGTGTGTCAGCTCTTCATTGCCCTTTTCTGTCCCACCCACTCATTCAGCCTCCTTAGCCACATGGGCCAGACTCGGTAGTCCTAGATTAGTATAGTGCTCCTTAAACTGGGATCATACTACCTGTACACACAATTGAAAAACGTTACTGTTTGGGTTTTTTTTAGAAACATCCTCTGTTTAATGACTTATATGTCCATGGACTTGATCAATATTAGGTGGTCAGAAAACAAAACATTCTCATTTCCCAAAAATAACAGTAAATACAAACCTTCAGTTGAATGTCTGTCACTGATTATTCCTTGCCGAACACTGGTCTTATGTAGTACCTAAAGGGCAATTTCATAATAGTTGACCCAATCTCTCAAGGAGAGGAGGTGGGACTTTCATAATGGTCATAGTATTTTTATCAAAAGATTTCTGGAAGAACTCAATTTTAGAAACTGAATTCATGTGCAAGAGTGCAGCAAGTGGTACAGTTTACACTTGGTCACAGTTTTCTCACTTTATGACATTACTGTAACAGTTACAGGATAGAAACACACACATACACACATTTATATTCACACTCACACACAGTATAATTTTACTGATCCAGACAATACTTCTTTTCAATTAAAAAAAAATGAAGACTACTTTGGCCACCCAGACATGAAATCTACTTAAACCTGGAGTATAAGAATGCAATGCTCTTCAAGTAAACAGCAACTGCACAGTGATAACAATATACATTAAGATTGACACATGCTGTCTTAAGAGGTCCTGTAATAGCTAAAGACTAAAGAAAGTCAGAGATGCCGCTCAAAAAAGTCAATACGCTTTCTCTCTTCCGTTCTGATTATAAGCCATTACCCAACAGAACAGCTACGGTCCAGAAGATAATAAATGTCCTCCTATGAAAACGCAGGGCTAACAAATTTTTAAGTGTCAATAAATTCTGCTCAATATTTTGAACAGTCTTCAAATTCTTCTTGTTGTGTTAAGAGGAAAATAAACCTTTATGGTTATTTCCATGTCAAATTTAAATAGAGATATCTGAAGATATATTAAGGTTTCTAAAGTTATACCACGGGCAATAATATTAAAAAAGAAAGTGATCTCATTGGCACATATACACTGCTTGTGCTCCATTGTTCTCATAAAATGTTCCCTTTCAGTTTTGCTGAACTGGACAAATATAAATAACACATAGCAAACACTGATACGCATCTCACAGGACACAATACATTTTTACAAAATATCTCCAGTATTATAACTTGTAAAAATGGACATTTTTGATACTACAGACAGGTACATTTCACATTTTAATGAAAGTGGTAGTTACAAAGGCATTACTCAATTGATGACATTTTTCTATGGGTACTTAGACTTCAAATTGTGTAGTCAAAGGCTTCCCATCTATTTCATTGAGACTTGAAGGACCATCAGTCACTTAAGCAACAGGATTTCTTCACCATAAACCCCTGGAGAATGGAGTTTGAGCACCTAAACTACTGAGACATTAGCGAACTGATGAATGAGCATAGTGACAATCACTTTTGAACTGAGCATGGTAAACTTAAAAAAATATAACCGATGAGACGACAGACTCTTCTAGATTTTGCTTTAAAAAAAAAAAAAACCTTTTCTTTTCCTGTGTTGCCAGGGAGGCGTCAGGCTCACAGAGCCTCGGCAGACGTGTCTGTGGACACAGACATGGTGACCTTGGCAATCTTGACCGTGCTCTTGATGCAGCTTTCCGCAGCCCTGTGGACACTGGCTGCATTGTTGGCATGTTTGTGCAGGCAGTCCGAGTCCCCCATGCTGTTATCCAGAGGCTGTGCAGTGCCTTCACACGACGGGAACATGCTCCGGAAAGCGTGTCTCAGGTCCTTGCTCCTCAGAGCATAGATGATGGGGTTCACTGTGGAGTTCAGCAGGCACAGCATGCTGCAGAATGCAAACACCGTCTTAATGAGCTTGTTCATCTTCCCAAAGACATCGTATACCATGATGGCAAGCAGAGGGCCCCAGCAGATGATCAGCACCACCAGAATCAGGACCAGCGTCTTGGCCAGCCTAATGTCCATACGGGCTTGGTCCGGCCGAGTCACCTGTACCTTGCCATCCTCTGATGTGTGGATGATGATGCTCTTCTGGGTGCCGCGCTGAATCATGCGCACTGCGTGGCTATGAGCCTTCCAGAGAATGTACATGTATGCGTACACTATGAACAGCAGCAGCACACTGGTCACCCCAATCCAGAACATCAGGTAGGTTTCGTCAATGAGCGGAAAAATGTCTGAGCAAACGGATTGCAGTTTCTTGCAGTTCCAGCCCAGGAGGGGCAGCACAGCGATCACAATGGCTATGGTCCACATGAGGCAAAATGCCACCACAGCCTTGGGCCTGGTGACAATCCTTTTATAGGCCAGGGGCCTGTGAATAGATATGTACCTGTCGATGGCAGTGAGGAACAGGCTGCCCACGGAGGCAGTGAAGGAGGCTGTGACCCCACCCAGTTTGAACAGAAACACGTTGGGGCTGTCTTTGCGGTGGAACACGTGGAAGTCAACAAAGCTGTAGACAAAAATGACACTCCCCAGGAGGTCTGCCACCGCCAGGCTGCCGATGAAGTGGTAAGAAGGCCTGCAGCGGAGGCTGCGGGAGTGGAGGATGACACACAACACCAGCAGGTTCTCCAGGACCGTGAAGGTGCCCAGCGTGAGGGACAGCACAGCGATGGCCAGCTGCTGGCTGGGGTTCAGAATCATGAAGCACTCCATGTCCATGAAGTTCTCCCCACACTGGATGTTCTCCTCGTTCTCCTTGTAGGACGACAGAGACTTGTTGTAAAATTCTGTAATGTTCACCTGGTCTGCTGGGACCAGCTGGGGGTTGTCTCCTGCAGTCATCTTTTCTTGGAAGGGACTTCCCCGAAAGGAAGTTAAAGGAAATTTCTGTGGGAAGTACCCTAATTTGGATGCCATGTCGCCTTTGATGTCTTCGTACTGAATGTCATTCGAGCCCACGTAGAGGAGGTCTGTTGTGATGGTGCGGAAGGTCGTGTCTGCAAGGCCATCTAGGATCGACTTCATAACCTCAGTCTTCTTTTAGGCCAGACTCAAAATGACTGAGAAGGAGACCCGCAGGGAGGAATCCTAACAGGAGGGAAAACAAACAAGCTGAGTGGTGGGAAAACCAGGAGGATGGTAAAAAGAAACACTGGAAGCATTGCAAACGTGTACCCTCAGGGGATTTCATTCCTGTCTCAGAACACAGGTCAAGTCCTTGCCAGATTCATTCAAAATGAGTCAGTCACTCAGAGAAGAGCCCCCACAGTTGGGGGATGGAGAAGCACACACCAGAAGCAACTGATTCTCTCATTATGTAAGCCCCCTGGATTAAAGTCACTGTGTGAGTCTTGTATGGACTTCCAGGGTCGAATGGGCCAAGCTAAGTGAAATGATTCCTAGACACAATGTGCATTTCACAGTCATGTTAGGGAGTGTCTACCACCTGGCTTCTACTGTCACACACACGGTGTCCTCTGCTGGTGAGGCAGGGGAGAGCAATGTGTCACAGAGTCTCTGGTCCTAAAGACCTGACCTTTTTAGACAGGTAAAACTAAACGAATAAGACATCCAAAGACCAAGACAGTGTAGAATCAGGTGTGGAGTTGTGCAGTCTATGTGTTAAGTGTAAAAGAGGAGACTTGAGCAGCAGAGGCAGCTGGAGGCCATGATGGGAAGACCTGCTCCACCAGGAGAATTTCATCACCCAGAGAAGGGGAGGCGTGTACTGAGCCATGGCTGAGACAAGCTTCTAAACCATCTATACCAACCAAGACAATGTCACTAAGGCCAAGCTTGTACTGACGCCTGTGGCAAGACTGGAGAGCAGTGATGAGGGGCTTATGTTTCCAGATGCAGCCCTCACAGGAGGAAGGCAACACAAGTGTGCTGGTGACGGGAGACGGGCCCGATGGTGTCCAAGGCTCTCCACGCAGATGACTAAGAGGAGCATGCCCAATTTTAATGGCTCTTCACTTCTAAGCTAGGCAATTTGGTTTTATTTCAAAATAAACATCCAGATCTGATCTTATTATTTATGTTTGTTGAAAATGTGGCTATTTGTCTCCTTAGTTTATAAAAAAATTAGAAGTATAGAATGATATCTATTATAATTGAAATAACCATAAAAACAAAGATTTATTATCATTTGTCATTCCTAAACATATCACGCTGTATGGGGTAGTCATTATCTTGGAAACAATTAAATAGTTTTAGGTCCTCCTACTAAAATACAGATAAAAACAAAGATTTATTATCATTTGTCATTCCTAAACATATCACGCTATATGGGGTAGTCATTATCTTGGAAACAATTAAATAGTTTTAGGTCCTCCTACTAAAATACAGAGATCCTTCCTATCTGAATTAATAATTCATTTATTAGTGTATTATCCATTCTACAAATTATGGGGCACCCACTATGTGCCAGGCACTGCACTGGACACTAGTGTCTTGACAACATCAAGAAAGCATCCCTGCCCATGTGAAGTATGTGTTCTGGCAGAGGAGACAGACAGCTGACTCAGCAATGATGACAGAGTGACGCAAGAGCTGTGATGGGGACATACAGGATGCTGTGGGGCACCTGGGGCTGGGGACTGAAGGAGGCTTCCCCAAGGACAGGACGTTGATGCCAGGAATACACAGCATTAGTGCAGGTGGGCACAGGACAAGACTCAAGAAAAGATTTTTAAATTGATTTCTTAAGTGCCATGCTTTTTTAAAAGTAACTTGGAACAGGTAGAAACTTGGCCCAGTAACTTGGCCCAGCTTCCCACATTCCACCACCTCCATGTCCAGGCTAGCACCACCGCTCACTAGAATGAGGGCACCTGCCTCCTGACTGGTTTCCCTGCCTTTCTCTGGTCCCACTCCCTTTTGATCACTTGCCACACACTGCTGGAGTGATCTTCATAAATGTATGAGTATGTGATTCCCCGTTTCAACCTCTTGGCCCTAAAGACCAAATACAAACTTTTGGGCCATCCTCTATATCTCAGCCCAGCTGAGCTCCTTTCAGATTCTGACCCTCATTCTTTAGTCCCCAATCCTCTCCACATTCTGTTCTCCTTGAACAGGAAGGTTTTCCACCTCCCACCTACAATCCTACAGGATGACGTCTAGTAAACAGCTTCCTGTGATCTAGCCCCTGCCTAACCCTGATCCTCCCCTTGCCACCCCTGGCCTTACCACTTGGGCTGTACCAGATAAGTTCCATAAACATGTCAATTTGATTGCTTTTCAACTCAGTGTCTTTGCTTTCACTGCCCGTAACACTCCTCTGCCCAAACACCCTTTCTCTCCCTCTGCCTGGTTAACTCTTCTCCATCCGTTTCATGTCACAATTTCCTGTAGCTCCCTGCTTCCCATGTTCACATGAAGTATCCTCTCTGGGGCTCCCAGAATACCCAAGTAGATTTCTATCATAGCACTTACTAAATTTTCTAATATCTGTCTGGGTTTGCATCTCTTCTGCCCCTTCCTCCTACCCACTAGACAGTAAGCTCATTAAGGATCTTACTGCGGACCTTATTTATGTTAGGATTTACTCACAGAATTTAGTATAACACCTGGCACAAAGAAGGAGGCTCCAAATAAATAGGCTGATTGAATATATATATTTCAAAATAGAACTACAACAACAAAAACCTTTTTCTACCCAAAGTGGGGGAGGAATTCTCCCAATCATAAGGAGAAATAAATATGCTTATAACTTGAATCAAGGTATCTATCCTGAGGAGGTGCCCAATCCATTTGAACTAGAAAAATGCTCTATTAAGGTTATTAGCATTTTATTTTATTTATTTATTTTTTTCCTTTTTGTCTTTTTTCGTGTCCGGCAATGGACCGCAACCCTCAGTGTCACGCCCGTACCGGACCGGGACCGGCAACGGGATCATAACCCTCGGTGCTGCGCCCGCCCCTCGCTCAGCCAGTGAGCGGGAACCGGTCTGTATGTGGGATCCGAACCCTCGGCGGGAGCGCCGCCGCGCTCCCAAGCAGCACACTGTAGCAGTGCGCCACCGGGCCGGCCCAAGGTTATTAGCATTTTAAATGCAGTTGCCTACATAATAATTACCTAGTCTAAATACTCATAGAATGAACCATATGGCATAGAACTATGGCTAGAGAGAGACACATGAGAATACCGGCAATATCATACCAAATGGTGAACGGAGCACAAGCCCTCAGCACTGATGTGACAGGGAAGCCAGCAGGCTCCCTTAGCCCCTCCCTGGTCCTGTAACCCTTTGACATGATCAGTGTGGCCTGTGATGACAGCAAAGAGGTACTGCCAAACCGAGGGCCCTGAGCCCCACATGGGTAACTTTTGTCATCACTCAGGAAATTGAGCTGTTTTCCTTAGTCTGGGTTTTGGAGCCAGTCTGGCACACCGTTTCTGTACTGTCATAGAACAAACCACCAGGGAGCCATCAACTGCTTGACCAGAGGCAGGAATTCCAGGGCACAAACCACACAGAAGCACCCAGAGTTCAGATGGAGTCTGCTGAGCCCAAACAAGTCAGAGCAGTGTCCCAGGAGCAAAGGCTAGTTGCCAAGGCTATAGAAATAAAGGATGTAGAAATAAAAGACCAAAGCCCAACAGCCAAGCCAGTTGCCCAATGTGCTTCCTGGTTCCTTTACCTAAAATCTCTCCTGAGTCCCCAGCCTCAGCCTGGCTCCCACTGTCACTCTCAAGTGTCTTTAGGTTCCCTGTTTATCTGTCAAATTTTTTCTCACATCCTCATCTCTTCCAGACAAGTCTTATGTATCCCACCATTGAGCTTTTTCTCAGGAGTCAGCTCTTGCTCTTTGCACATTTATGTTTGCTAAACAACTCTATTTACACATCAACATTTTCATCCATAGTTAAAGGGACACAAAAGAAAGCCACAATGTATGAGAGAGCTGTTCTTTACATAGTCCTCACATATCCTCAAACCTAACGTTTGCCTCTGAAGTCCCACCCATACTTATACTGGCCCTGGGAGATGACTTGATGCTCTCTGAATATACCATCACACCTGCACACCTTCCTCCTCGCTCTTGCCCCTCCCTCTGTCCCAATACTCATTCCCAAGCTCTCCACCTGCTAAATTTATCTGACTTGATGCTCTCTGAATATACCATCACACCTGCACACCTTCCTCCTTGCTCTTGCCCCTCCCTCTGTCCCAATACTCATTCCCAAGCTCTCCACCTGCTAAATTTATCTGTCAATGGTACTTCCATGTCTGAGACCTTCCTGACCAGCCCCTCCCACCAGGCATAACTAGTTCTTTCAGCTTATCTCTTTATTATAGGCCCCACAATATCATTTAATCACGAGTTTACATATTTATTTCCATAACTAGAATGTGGTTTCCAAACACAGAATAGTGTCTTTTATTCTTAGGTGATTTACCAGCCTGATAGCATGATAGCGGGAGAGGAGAGAACTGGGCTCCTATAGAAATGTTCGCCTGAACCTAATAAGCTGGCAGTTGGATTTTATTAGCTGGTGCATTAAAACTGTGATTTAATAATATTTATTTGCCTTTTGCTAGAGGAAAGAAAGATAATTAACTCAATGGACATTTGGCCTGAAAACCAAAGCTTGAGTCCACATTTTCATGAAGCTACTGGGAGCCTCCATTCCTTAAGTCATCTTCTCTCAAGTAACTAACTCCCCCATCAACTTCCCAATTAGAAACTAATTTATTTGAAGGTTTAATTATATATATGTATGTGCATATATGATTAAAAAGATTCAAAATTCAAAAGGTGGAGAAGTATATACAGTGAAAAGTCAATCTCTCTAATCCCTGCAACCCAGCCACCTAGCTTTCCCCCTCAGAGGCAAGAAATAAGTTTCCTATAACTCCTTCCAGAGATATTCCATGCATATTCAAGCAAATATACGTATTTACCCCCTTTTTACTTTCTTTTTAGCACACAGTAACATGCTGTACAGTTCTACACCTAGTTTCTTCACTTAGAAGTACACATTGAAGACAGTTCTGTATTAGTACACAAAACCTCTCTCCTCATTTAGCAGCTGCCCTAAGGATCTGTTAGATGAATGTGACCAGCCTCCTATGGATGGA